ATTGTAAGTTTGCTAAAATCAGAGTTCAAATGGTCTCCAATTTAATTTTTGAAGCTTCCAACTTAATTTTATCCAATTCTCATTGCACAAAAACAAATCATAAAATCTCTTTAACATCGAATCAATACAGGATTAAGCTAATATCAACCAAGAAAAAAATGTAAATGAATAGAAAATTAAATTTGGAGTGATTTGAATGGACGACCGATGTTAAATCTATTGATCGTGGGCCGTTTATTGGGCATTTAAATGTCTTAGTGATATCAGAATTCGACGATCTTGGTCACGTTGGATTCGTCTCATCTAGCCGCTCAATTTTACTATAAGCACTTCATGTTTGGAAACCATTTGGCAATCCAAATTATGGTTTAAACTTTCCAAATATGCTTCGAGTCTTTGATTTTGACTCATTTGGGTTCAGATTGAATCGAATTTGGTGTCGTTGGGTTTGCATTTTAAAGACGTTCAATTCTATTGTAAGTTTGCTAAAATCAGAGTTCAAATGGTCTCCAATTTAATTTTTGAAGTTTCCAACTTAATTTTATCTATAGTTTTTTTTCCCATTTTTTAATGTGAAAACCCCTAAAAATGGGAAAAACCACGAGGCCTAACCCAATTGAAAATGATTCCACTATAATTTGAGTAGATTATAGCAGACTGGGTCATCCTTGAGGGCGATCAGATTACAAATGTCAACTATAAAGTTGAAATCTAATGACAAACAAGGATGATAGTCTGGCGTCACTTGGTGGTTTGGCGGATCTTCGAGCGTCAGGTAGTGATCCAGCAGAACTCAGAGCCTCAAGTGGTGGTCTAGCGGAGCTTAGGGATTCAGGCGGTGGTCCCGCGGAGCTCAGGGCCTCAAGTGGTAATTTGACGGAGCTCAGGGTCTCAGGTGGTGATCCGGAGGAGGTCACAGTGTCAGGTGGTGATCTGGTAGAAGTGAGGGCTTCAAGCGGTGGTCCCGCGGAGCTCAGGGCCTCAAGTTGTGGTCCGACGGAGCTCAGGGCCTCAGGTGGTGGTCTGGTTGAACGCCGGCAGTGGTCAAGAAGGCTAGAGCAATCTCTGAACTCTCTCTTTAATCATTTGGCTTAGGTTCCCCTTTTCAAGAAGGAGGAAGGGTCTATTTATAGATTTCTTAGAGTGTCATGACCCATAAATAGGAGGATGATCAATGGCAAATGGGGAGTGGTTTGGATGGACGATCGATGTTGAATCCCTGATCGTGGACTGTTCGTTAGACATTTGAATGTCTTAATGATGTTAGAATTTTGCATATTGGGCTTGTTGGATTTGTCTCATCGAGCCGCTCGATTCGACTATAAGCATGTGCTTTAGATCCAAATTGTGGTTTGAACATTCCAACAATGCTTTAGATCTTTGATTCGGACCCATTTGGGCTCGGATTGAGTCGAATTTGATGTCATTTGGTTTGTATTTTTGAGACATTCAATTTGACTATAAGTCTGCTAAAATCGGAGTTCGGATGGTCCCAATTTTAATTTTGGAAGTTTCCAACTTGATTTTGCCTCGAGATTCGTGCCCTATTAGAATAAATTACTCAGTGATGTTAATCTGTGTGAATAAGATCAATAGAAATTTATCAATAATGTTTAACTTATCAAAGATTATTTATCATAATGTTACTATATTTTAACCTAAATGAAATAGATAAAATTAAATCCCCCTAACATAAATTATATAATAGCAACTGCGCTACAACACATAAGAAATTAATAACCTCCCTATGTATGTGTAATTAATAATTATTACAAATTTAAATAAAATTTGAAGTATATAGTTGACGAAATGCTAAGTGTCCAAGAGGCCTTGGGGGCACTGCAGCGCTTAGCTCTTTATTTAGAGAGAAGGTAAATCCTGGGCGTAGAGGGCACTATAGCATTGGATAAAAAGTGTTGCAAAGCTGAGCTTTATGTAACAACCCAAATTTTTTAAAATGGATTTATTTAAAAAAATCTTTTTTTTTTTTTAATTGGAGTGCTATAGTGATGTGCTTTTGAGAGCAGCAACATTGGGGGGGAGTAGCAACGCTGAACTCTGTATTCTATAGTAACTCTGGATTGAGCATGTAATGATGCAACACCAAGTCTAGAGCATCATGATGTTGGGCACTGAATTAATTCTTTTAATATAGATTTATTCACTCAACCATTTCTTTCTCTCTCTCTCTCTCTCTCTCTATCTATCTCTCTCTCTCTCTCTCTCTCTCTCTCTCTCTCTCTCTCTCTCTCTCTCTCTCACACACACACACACATTTAACTTGACTGGTAAGAAATGGAAGAAAAAACAAAAGAGAAGGGGAGTAAGAGAAGAAAGAGAAATCTCATCAAGGGTTTTTATTCGTCACTCTTATTACAAAAACTATTTTGATCATTGTAGGTGACTTTTATCCTATCTCTGTTTTCAAAGATTTATTCGTTTATTTAAATTGATATTTTGCTTTCAATTCAAAGTAACAAGACTAATTTTACTTAAGAAGATAGAATAAATATAATTCTTCCAATTTAGATCTTAGGGCATCACTCTTTATTTGGGAGTATATGGAATATTCTAATAGAGAATCTTAATGTTGCATTTTGGAGCATCACAATGTTGAGCACTAAAATGAGTTTTAGTATAAATATCTAAAGCCATTTTCATTTTAACCTCACCACACTTCAATTGTCGGAGAAGTGAAGAGAAGAGAGAAGTAATACATAGAAAGAAGAAAGGGGAATTAAGAGGCCAAAGTGTGAAGTTTATCCATCTAATTTGTTCAGGAAATTATTGAGCACAAGGTGGGCTCTTACAACCCTATTTCTAATTCCAGTTTTGATGTTTGTACAAAGGTTATAAGATAATATGTAATTTTAATGAGCTTTAGAAACTTTCACCATGTGATTTCTGATGTATTATAGAATATCTAATTCTAATAAATTTAATTGTATGAAATTAAATTTTAATCGTTGATTTTATCTGCTTGAATTTTTTAACTATTTTTCGTAAATGTAGTATTTTTGGCATTAACTTCGGATCATTAAAAGTCCTAAATGATGCTTTTAATATTCTTTATGAATGAATTTTCAAATGTCAAATTGTTAAGTGTGTATGCAACTTTTACATGTGTGTCTTGCATATGACAATTCATTATATTCATGTTTAATGTTATGTATACATGGCAATTATGTTAATATATGCATGTGTATGCGATATCATGACAAAAGTTTTAATGTGTGAGATGTTAAAGTACACTACTATTTTTAGATATAAGTGTTATTGATAATCGACCCTTAAGATCTGGTAGCAACTGATGGACAAAATTTCAAAGCTGCAACTATACAGAGTATTATATGGGTGGTGATATCTAATTTGATGATGTAGTTTGATGGTCTAGTAGCTCTGCTTATGGAGGAAACCTATAGTAGGATGATTAAAGTTAGATGAGATAAGATAGATTGAAATATGCAATTATTCATGAGGCTGAAGCCACCTCATTTTTAGGGTGCAGTAGAACCTCAAGCAGCTCATGACTGACTAATGAGGTTAGAAAAATCATTCGATAACATGTAATGCTCTAAGAATAAGAAGGTTATGAGTAGTATTTATAACATTTATTAATTTTAAAAGTAGGTCATTAATTTAATCATATACAAATTCTTTCTCAAACATGATCTTATTATGTGTTCAAGTCTTCTTGCCAATCATCATTCCATGCGATAAAAGTTCTGAAGTGAATGATAGTCTTATGCATTATCATGTGTTGCTTCCTATAGATATAATATTTTTGAGTGCTGTCCACCCAAAGTGCCAAAGAAAATGCCAAAGATTGCTTTATGTTGTGTTATTTGAACAAGTTTTTTTCATAATTTTTTATTTCCTTAAGAGCTCATTCTTCATAGTTTTTGTATCATAACATATTATATTCCACTATTGTTTAAATATTTAAAATTATTGTACTACTAGTCTTAATGCTACATATATATAAAATTGATTGTGTCAAATTTGTAATAACTTTTTATTAATAAAATAATTATGTAAATTATTGGTTTTCCTTCGTGGTCTAAATCTATTGTGTGAAGGAGCAATTATCAAACATTCATTGAAGTTCAAAATGCAAATACTCAATTATTCGACTCATTTGGCAGCTTGTAGATATAAAATATTTGTAAAATAGTGATTTTTAAATCTCATTTTGCTGAATATGAGAGATTTTAAAGGTATTTGTGAAGTTTAAAACTAATTCTTTTTTTCCTGAATACATCCAACCAAATAAAACTATTTAGCAAACTTCAATTTCTCAAAGCATAATTTTTTTGCTTCAAGCAACCAATTGGGACCTTAAAGTATTTTTCAATAGCTATAATTTAACTAATCTTTGATAAATTTCTTATTAACATTGATACGGCATCACAAAATTAGTTTGATCGGGCACGAATCTCGAGGCAAAACACAATCCGGAAACTTCAAAAATTAAATTCAGGAGCATGTGAACTCCAATTTCAGCTAACTTATTGTCAAACTGAGCGTCTCGGAAATACGAACCCAAAGACACCAAGTTCGACCCAATCCGAGCCCAAATGGGTCCAAATCATGGACCCGAAGCGCTGTTGGAAGGTTCAAACCGCAATTTGAGTTACCAAACGGTCTCCGATTTTGACGAGCTTATACTCGAATCGAACGGCTCGACGAGAAGAATCCAACGAGCCCAAGATCACCGAATTCCAACATCATTAAGGCCTTCAAATGTCCAACGAATGGTGCACGATCGTAGGATTCAATATCGGCCGTCCATTCAAACCACTCCCAATTCGCCCTTGATCTCACATCTATTTACGGGCCATGCCACTCCATAAAATCTATAAATAGATCCCTCATTCTTCACAAAGGGGGGACTCAAGCAAGAAGAGAAGGAAGAGGAGAAGGAAGGGAAGGAAGAAGCTCCTCCTCGACCACCGCCGGAACCTCGCCGGACCACCGCAGGAGCCTCACCGGATTACCGCAGGAGCCTCACCGGACCACCGTCGGAGTTTCGCCACACCACCATCTCAAGGCCCGACGTTCAGGCCCGACGTGCTACTAAAGGCTTGACATTCATGCCCAACGTTCTGCTCAAGGCCCGACTTTCAGGCCTGACGTCTTCATCTGAGGCCCTCACCTTCTCCAGAAGCCCTCACATTCGTCAAAGGCCCTCACCAACATCTGAGGCCTTCACCTTCACCTAAGACCCTCACCTTCGCGAGAGGCCCTCATCTTCACCAAAGGCTCTCTCCTCCGCTAGACTACCACCTTACGCCGTTGTTTTGTCGGAACACCACCTGAGGCTTGAACTTTTGCTGGGCCACTACCTGACGTCCAGAGTTCTACCAAAGTACCGTCCTACTACAACGGTCTTTCAGACCTCAGTCTCCTACCGACTACGGTCCTTCAGGCCTTCGTCGCCTATTATGTTCCTTCCGACCTCCATCAACAGACAACGGTCTTTCTGACCCCGGTCTCCTGCTGACTACGGTTCTTCCGACCAGACAAACATGTATATGTAATTCATACTATGTAATGCAATCTGCATGATGTACATTTGCTACATCAATCCAAGGCCTTCTCCCAAGGAAGAGCCTCATTTTTAACAACTACAAATACTAGTGGATTCATTCAAATTGGGCTAGGCCCCGTGATTTTTCCCCCTTTTCAGGAGTTTTTCACGTAAAAACTCTGGTGTCTCTTATGAATGTTTCACCCCCTCACTTATCTGCTTGTGTGCTGGATCTTCGTACAATGCATATATATATATATATAATATATATATATATATATATAACATCTCTTTATAAGCTTATTTTTCTCAAAATGCAGATAAATATATGCAAGAAATAACCTATATATTGTTTTTAGTTCCTATTTCAAGGAATAAACTATATATTATTTTTAGTTCCTATTTCTTGTAAGCCACCAAAGTATTTTTAGCTCTAGTATATTTTATTCTAAACCTATCAACATCCACTCAAACACATCCTTTCGTTAGTATATCAAGCGCAAATGACTTATTGTGATCTTCATTTACTTTTCATGTTGGATTTGAGTTAGCTTTCAAGTTGGTGCAATGTGAAGACCTAGCTCTATCATGAAAATAAAGTTATATACAAGTTTAGGGTTATGTCACTAGTTTTCTTATTGTTGTTCCTTTTAACAAAAATTAAGTCAAGAACTAAATGTTGTTGTCTATTGGCTAACTAGAAGTCTCAAAGGGATTTATTTTCTTATTAATTCTCAAAGAGATATACATTAATTAATACAAAAAATAAGATAATGATTGAAAGCACATATAGAAGGTTTATTGAAGAATGATGGATTGTAATGTGTTATTAGGTGAATTATTTATATTAAAGTTGTTATTTTGGCTAGTTGATTGAATTAAGTATAAATAAGTTCTTGTTACTTACATGAAAAATATCTTGAATGTATATAAATGCATAAGAGGCAAAATAGTTGATTTAGAAAGGTAACAAGATGAAAATATTATTTATGTTTGTTTATGCTCGTTATGTGACATGGTATAAGTTTTTTGAAGATTACATAAGTTTAGTCATCATGATGAAAAAATGATTCTGCAGCTAGAAAAATCTATTAGCATAGAGACATTAAAAATTGAATGATCTTATAAAATACATGTTGGAGTAACATGATATGAGGGTTGAATTTACTTGATAGAAAGTGACCATTTGTGTTTGATCTTCTTGTTATTTCATGAATTCCACCATCATATGTTCCTTCTTATTCTTGTTCTCTTCTTCATGTTGTTCTCATCTCCTTTTGGTAATGCCTCTATTTTTTTTATTGTGTTTTGGTTGGAGGAATAAAGCAGACCATCATGTGTTCCTTCTTGTTTTTGTTCTATTTTTTCTAATTTTCTCTTCTCCTTTTGGGAATGCCTCTCTTTTGGCTATGTTTTGGTTGGAGTAATAAAGCAAAATTAAAAAAAAAATTACCTAATAATTACATCTTGATTGTTTTGTTTAGGTGTTATTGATAAGAATTTGTTTTGACCAAGTAAATTAAAACTTGTGCATATTTCTCTTTATGATTCTCTACTTAAAACTAAAGCGTGCATGATATTAGATTATGTTTATTCTTCAATTTTTTGGATATCCCTTTATGAAAAATAGAAAAGATATTACTTTTCCACTCAATTTCTCCTTAATCAAATAAGTGGGCAAAGGTACTATAAAATTAAATTATTATAAGGGGGAAATAATATTTAATATACATTTTAGTGATGAAATATCTATGAAGTCATGATCATCTTAATCAGTACCCATGACTACTAGTCTACTACAAAACTATTATATGCATCATTAGTAGCTATTGGACCCATTAGACTTACCTTATACTCATTTAGTAGCAAAACTTATTAATGTTAAAAATATTTAATTTGATTTTAAGAAGATATTTTTTTTATCAAAATTGATACCAAAATAAAAGTATGGCGTTGAATGAATACAAAAGTGTCATTAAAGAATCATTAAGGTCTTATTTTGTTTGTAACATTAAAGAATCATTAAGGTCTTATTTTCTCTTCTCCTTTTGGTAATGCCTCTCTTTTTTTAATTTTGTTGATGTCTTCTTATATTTTATTATAGGCCTATTCAGCCGTAAAAGATTATCTAATAAATTATTTTGATGTATTTTAATTCAATTTACATGACTTCTAACATGTAACTATTAACTGTTAGTCTTTCTCAATTTGATTGATTGGAAGTGGCAATTTCTATTTGATCTTCTTATTTTTATGTTTTGTATTGCTTTTTTGTGCAACATGTAATTTTGGTTTGGCTGTTATTTCTTTGTTCTTGATTTGATTCAATCTTCTAATTGTTACTATTCACGTAATATTTCATCGGTCGTACATTTTCCTGAGTTCCACATTAGGGATTCTCTTGCGGCCTTGCTTTGTCCGACTCCGGAGGCAAAGGGGCTGAAGTAGCGAGGGCCGGCGATAATGGCAACAGCCAAACCTGATGACACTCTACATCCTCCTCAACTCGTCGCCAGCGGCGAAGCTACTCCTGCTCCGGTCATCCTCCACCCGAACGATTCCCGCGTTCGCTCCCTTTGCGAAATCCTCTCCCGCACCCAGACGACGGAACTGGAACGCGCTTTCTCCAGCTGCGGCATCATCCCGGTCCCCGAGCTCGTGGAGGCCGTCCTCTGCCTCTCGTACTCCTACCCTTCCTCCGCCGTTCAGTTCTTTCGTTGGTCAGGTCTCTCCCTGAAGCACACACCCCGCGCCTGGAACCTCATGATCGACATTCTCGGCCGCAATGGCCTTTTTGATGCCATGTGGGACGCCATCCGCTCGATGAAGCAGGAGGGTGGCATACTGTCTGCCGCTACTTTCGCCTCAGCCTTCGGCTCTTACTGCGCCGCAGGTAAGATTAAAGAGGCCATCATGACCTTCGACGTCATGGATCGCTACGGCGTTTCACAGGACGTCGTTGCCGTTAACTCCCTTCTCAGCGCCATCTGCCGCCAAGACGGCCGCACCGCCGACGCTGCCGACTTCTTTGACCGCATCAAGGCCCGCGTGCCCCCTGACGCCGATACGTTCGCCATCCTCTTTGAGGGCTGGGAGAAGGAGGGAAACACCGCCCGCGCCAAGACAACCTTCGGCGAGATGATCATCCGCGTCGGCTGGAACGCCAACAACATGTCCGCTTATGACGCCTTTCTCAGCACTCTTGTCCGGGCCGCCCAGCCTCAGGAGGCCCTCAAGTTCCTCATGGTCATGAAGTCCAATAACTGCCTCCCCGGTCTCAAATTTTTCAGTAACGCCCTTGACATCCTCGTCAAGCACAATGACTCCGATCATGCCCTTGCTCTATGGGATATCATGGTAACCGACAGTGGCCTCGTCCCCGATTTGGTCATGTTCAACGCGATGATCTCCCTCCTCTGCAACAACCAAAAGATTGACTTTGCCTTTCGCTATCTTGATGATATGCCCTTTTATGGTGCTTTCCCCGACTCTCGCACCTACAATGCTATTTTTGAGTGTCTTATCAGGAATAATCGGGCTCGTGAGGCTGAGTTGTTCTTTAGGGAGATGAAGAAAAACGAGCTGCCGCCGACTCCCTCCAACTGCGCCGCTGCTATCAGGATGTTCTTCGATCAGTTCGACCCCGCAGCTGCTCTTGACGTGTGGAGCTACCTCATGGAGGAGCTAATGACGCCAGACAATGAGTCTGCCAATGAGCTACTCCTAGGTTTGGCAGAGTTTGGGAGGTTGAGTTTTGTGGCAAGATATGCCGAGGATATGCTTGACAGGGGCATAGAGTTGCGGCTTACTGTGATCGAGAAGTTGAAGAATTTCTTTCAAAAGGCAGGAAAACCTGACTTGTACGATCGTATTACAAGAAAGATGAACCGGCAGTAGCAGTTTGTATGGCTGCACAAGATTCATAGAGGTTTGTACCCTTGCTAACTTTCTTCTTATGTCAAATTTAGGGAGGGTTTTTAAAAATATAATTAGTTTTTTCTAAGGGTATGGCTATTGGGAAATGATAACTAAACCGAAGCAATAATTTGTAGTGCGATATGCAACCATAATAAATGAAGAGTTAATTAAAATGTCGTGGTGTCAAGTTGCTTTCTCAAGAGACGTGGGAAAGTGCTTATTAAGACAATGTGATACAGTAACAGTAAGATGAGAAGAGCCTACATAAAGGAGGTTAGTAGAAGCATCAATGCTGTTAAATCATAATGATCATAAGAGAAGATAGGCAGTGAATGACATGCAGAAATATATAGGATTAAGAGGGAAAATGAAAAATGCTTCTTAGGTAAAAAATTGCTTAACAAGAAGCAAATCTAAGGGGCTGTTTAGATACAAGATTTAAGCAGGATTTGAGTTAAATCTTGCCAAATGCAAAAAAAATACCTCCTCAAATCTCACGGTAAGTTAAGTCCCGATTTAACGTTGTTTTCCACTTTTTCCCCTAAATCCCAAATTTAGTAAATACCATAGTTCGGTGGATTTACAGGATTTAGCCGAAGAAGCATGCAAAATGGGTGAAAGATCGCTATCTTCACGGTGAGCTCCTATCGTGACTTCCGACCCACATAAAGAACGTCATTGAAGGAGGCAAATAAGCTTACATTATTACGAGATTTAAGGATTTAATGAATCTTTCAAAACTCCACCTCACACGAAGTAGGCGAAGTCGATTAGCAACAAAGAAATGGAGAAGAGGAAAAGCAAACTCTAGACAAGCCTACTGCCTATGGCTATAGGAAGAGCATAGACAAAGATAAAGTGAAGATAAATTATTGAAATAGGCAAGCATTGGCAGAGAAAAATACCATCTTTTTACTATGAATTAATTAAATTAGTTTAATTTATCTAATTAGGAAAATAATGTAATTAAGAAATAATTAATTAGATATTGATAATTAAATTATATTCTAATTATATTATTTGTAATTGTTAGTTATGATGGTAATTAAAATAAAAATTTATATTTAACTCATAAATAATTAAAAATATAATCAAAGTTTGTTAAAATTTTGATAAGATTTAATTTTATTCTCCTAAGTATGTTATAATTAAAAACACAAATTAAATTTGCATTTTTAGTGAATTACATCAAGGATTAGCCTTAAGCCCATATCTTTTTACTTTAGTCATGGATGTTCTTACTAGAGATTTGTAAGAGGTTGTATCATGGTGTATGTTTTTTGCTAATGATATTCTTTTTGTTGACAAGGCTAGAGAGGGAGTTGAAGGTAAACTTGAATTATGGAGGTCAACCTGAGAGTGTAAAAGTTTTCGTTTGAGTATATCTAAAACCAAATATATTAAGTGTAATTTTAGAAGCAATAACTCTAGTGGGAAAATTGTGACTTTGGGCAATCAAGTCATTAATAAGAGTACATGCTTTAGAAATCTTGGGTCTATTGTTCAGAGTTATAGTGAAATAGATGGGGATATTATTAGTAGAATTCAAGCTGGATGGCTGAAGTGGAGGAATGCATTGGATTGTTGTGTTATAGAAAAGTCACCTTCAAACATATGTGAAAATTCTATAAGATGGTGGTGAGATCTGCAATATGGCGCAGAATGTTGTTCATTGAAAGAGAAGCATAATCTTAAGTTAAATGTTGCAGAGATGAGGATGCCTCAGGTGGATGAGCGGCTTTATTCTTAGAGATAAAATACAAAATGAGCATATGCATGAAAAGGTTGGAGTAACTCCAGTGGAAGATAAATTAGAGAGAATCGCCTTAGATGGTTTGGTCATATAAAATTTCGGCCTTCTGATGATCCAATTAGAAGAATAGATGGATTAGATTTGACTTATTAGGAAATATTAAAAACAACCTCTCTTTATTAGATTTAAATGAGAATTTGACTCTTAACAGGACATAATGGAGAAAAAATTAATGTAGCCGACCTCACATAGTGGGATAAAGGATTGTTGTTATTGTTGTAGAGAATTAATTGCCTTAAATCCTGAGTTGAAACCAAACAATCTCATCGGATTTACCATGATTTAATATTTTTCTTTCCATATATTTTTAGGATTTAACACCCTTAGGATTTAATATTTCAGATTTACAGGATTCACTAAATTCTACTTGATGACATACTTGTGTACAACAGGTCGATAAGGGAGCACTTGGAGCATGTGAGGGTGGTTTTGGAAGTATTACAAGAAGATCAGCTTCGAGCCAACCTGAAGAAGTGCTTCTTTGAACAGGTTAGTGTGGAATACTTGGGGCACGTGGTCTCTTAGGAGGGGGTGGCTGCTGATCAGACAAAGAATGAGGCTATGCATAAATGACATTTACCTAGGAATCTGAAAGAGCTGAGGGGTTTCTTAGGTTTGATGGGGTACTACAAGAGATTTGTAAGAGGATGCAACATCATAGCTTGATCGTTAACTAAGCAACTAAAGAAGGATAACTTCTTTTGGGGAGAGGCAGCTACATAGACCTTTGAGAGACTAAAGAAAGCTATGATCATAGTATCGATTTTGGCCTTACCAGATTTGAGTCAGATTTTTGTGGTGGAGATGGATGCATTAGTATATGAGTTGGGGGCAATGCTTATGTAGAATCATAGACCCATAGCCTACTTCAGCCAAGTGTTGACAGCCCGAGCTAGGTTGAAGTCAATTTATGAAAGGGAATTGATGGCTAATGTGTTAGCCATTCAGAAGTGGCGAACATACTTATTGGGTCGGCATTTCATTGTTAGGGTGGATGGTGGATGAGGAGTATCATAAATGGTTGTCAAAGCTATTAGGCTATAATTTTGAGATTCATTGAAGGCCAGGATTGGAGAATAAGGTGGCAGATGCTTTGTCTAGATGCATGAGGGAGCTCCAGGAATTGGCTATGTCGATAATACTAATGCTGAACTAAGGGGCTATCAAGTAGGAGAGTATGTAGGATGAGGAGTTGGAAAAAATTAGAGCAAATCTTTTGAAGGATGAGAATAGTCTCCTAGGCTACTCTCTAGAGGGAGAGAGATTGTTGTACTAGAGGATGTTTGTGATGCCTAGGACCTTAGTTCATATCCCACATCTGATGTAAGAGTTCCACGGGAGCATTATTTGAGATCACTCTAGTGTACATAAGACATACATGAGACTAGCAATGGAGCTGTATTGGAAGGGGATGCACAAGGATGTGGAAGAGATGGTGGCTTGATGTGAGGTGTGCTAATGGAACAAGTAAATGGTCATTGCTCCTAGGGGGTTACTTCAACACCTAGTTCTGCATGTCAGGGTGTGGAAGTCACCATGGACTTTATTGATGGGTTATCTTGATTGGAAGGGTTTACTGTGATTTTGGTAGTAGTTGACAGATTGAGCAAGTGCACTCACTTCATCCCTTTATAACATCCTTACATGACAGTGATAATAGCGGCCACATTTATCAGGGAGGTGGTCAAGTTACATGGGATACCAAAGTCTATAGTATCTGACAGAGATAAGGTATTCCTCAGTCATTTTTGGATGGAGTTGTTTAGGCTATAAGGAACAGTGCTGAAGAGGAGCACTACTTATCACCCTCAGATAGACATGTAGACAGAAGTAGTGAATAGGAGCTTGGAGACAGATATGCGGTATTTTGCTTCAAAAACACCTAGGGCATGGGCCAAGTGGATGGCATGGGTAGAATACTAGTACAACACTTCGTAACACTCGGCCTGCTAGATGACTCCTTTCAAAGTGGTGTACGGGAGAGACCCTTCACATTTAGTATATTTTGGGTAGAGCCGCACACCAGTATCTTCAGTAGAGCAGTGCCTGAAGGAAAGGGATAGGATGCTGAAAGAGTTAAAAGACACATGTTGAGGGCTCAACAAATTATGAAAAGTAGGTGGATTGACATAAGAACGACATTCGGTTTGCCATGGGGATAGTGAATTCTTAAAGTTGCGGCCCTATATACAGAGGACAATAGCCAACAGAAGGAATGAAAAGCTAGCGTCGAGGTACTTTGTCCCTTATGAGGTGTTGGAGAGTATTGGAATAGTGGCCTATCGCTTGAAGTTACTCTCAACCGCTTCCATACACCCCGTGTTCCACATATCACAATTGAGGGGAGCTGTGGGGGACATGGAGCTAGTTCAGAATTAGCAGGGCCGCTGATGGAGGATCTAGAGGTGATTTTAGAACCACTAGAGCTTCAACGAGTACGACAGGGAGAGGGAGAGCCCAACTAAGTGATGATTAAGTAGAATAACTTGCCTGGCTATGATGCCATATGGGATCCATATGAGAGGGTAGAGCGTCAGTTTCCCTCCGTCCACGTTGAGAACAAGGTGTCTCTTTGGGAGGGGAGTATTGATAGACCGGTCCAACTAGGTCTATTGGAGGCGGAACAGGGGAGTTCCACTCCCATCATTGTCGCTCAAATCCTAGAGGAGGTCTATCAATCAGTAAAGAGACGCATTATTGTAAATCATACCAAGAAGACATCCAGCAAGCTAACCATATATATTACTTACTTTCCTATTTTTTTTCCATCTTATGGGCTATATTTTTCTTATAAATATGCTATTTATTCTATCCATTGTAACAAGAAAATATGAAGTATTCTCTTCTCATATGTATCAAAATGATATCAAATACACTTCTATCTTTCATCATTCTTTATTATATTTCTCATACTCTATTTTTACACCCAAAAGTTCAAAGTCTTCTCAGCTTGTCTCTTAGGAGTGTTTTTGTTTAAACTATGATGTTGGTTAAACATGAAATGACCTTAAAAAAACCCTCCTCTTATGCTGCTAGTTACTATGTGATGTGATACAACATGCGGTGAAACATGAATTGCACGTTAGAGATTAATGAGAGTTTAACTTTGCAATGTTAACGATAAAATCTAGCTTACTCAAGTTGGATTCAAGAAACTTCGTGATAGATTATGTTAACGGCAGTGATTACATTTAAGA